TAGCATTTAAATCATGAACCAGTGCGCGTATTATTGTTAGAAAAATATGAAATATCTGATATAAACTGCTCGTCAAAATTAGCGTAACACTTTTCAAGGTCAAACCATGCAAAACCCTTCGTAAATACGTAAGAGGTGGCTTAGGGGGCCTGGAAATAGGTTGAAGAGATGAGACGGCGACCAAATGCACAGAACTTATTGAAGAGGTCTTAATGTGTGCCGGGATGGAGTTTTTAGTCGACAGCGTCCTTCTTAGTTCATCCTGTAGGTCTCTGAAATTGCCGTCAAAATCTTGCGAATTCAAATTTCGACATGGGGTTGCTTTTTGGGGTGTGAACGGCGAACCGTTTAAGTCACAGCGTACTAACTTTGAGGCATTAAAACCAACCCAATAGGCTACCGAAAATTAAAAACCGCAAGTCTCTAACTCGAATAGAACGCAAATGGCGCTAATCTAAAAAGTGTTAAACGCTAATTTTGACCAGCAAATTATTTTAAACTTAGATTTCATTGGACTTTAATGTGCCTATAGTAAACACAAATTAGTTGTCTAAAGTATGCCATGTTTTGATTTTCGCGTATGATACCGTATCAATTTTAAAATTTTCTATTATAGTACATGTTCATGCTTTGTTCCATTTACTTTTTTTATAATCCGATTTTTTTAGTTTTTTTTTTATTTTTACTGTTACTATGTAAAATTATTTTTTTGTAACTTACAGTACATTATTGAAAATACAAAAAAATATAATTTTGATTGCAGTTGAGTGTATTTGAATAAGTGAAAATGTGTGTAAACATTGTAATATTCAGAGCTAAAGTTAAAAAGTTTTTAAAATTTATTTCTCAACCGAGTCTCAGATGCTGCCGCAACATTCGTGAGATTTACCACAAAAACAAGTAAACGTCGACAGTCTGACTACTTAATCTGAAACAGCGATTATTATTATATGTGTTTGCATTATCTGAATTATCTCTGCAATGTAGAGGATGAACAAAAATCCAAAAATACAGAAAAACTAGCGCCATCATCATCATCACTGGACGTTGTTATTACAGAGGGAGTTTACCATTATCAACAGATTTATGAAGTTATTACTTCTCACGTAGCTATTAGTTTCCAAGTTCAACGTAAATAAATTAGTTTTCTTCATTATGGACAGCGCAGTCGATGATTACCATGTTTTTTATAAATCACACCCGGTAGATAACGATCAGAGACTTAATTGAACTGCTCACTTCCAGTTACACTCACAGAACAGAATATTAATTACACAGACACACGGGAAAAAAGTCTGCTTGAAAGACTGTACCACATATCAGTTTGTTTTCGAGGTCGCTGAGTCCGAAGCTTCTGTCTGTTTGAACTAGGGACGGAATCAAATGCTGCTTTGTGTATTAATTTTATGTATAAAAATTTTTTATGTATAACATTTCTGTGAGTGTAAACAGACAGCGCGAACGCCCCATTTTCTGCGACTAATCTAATTAACAACACAATGCTAATTGATTACGCAAAAAAGTGAAGCGTTCTTCTCTATGTGAATGAACTTTCCTCAGATCGAGGAATCGACATTGCTCGACACCTAACGCTATAAGAATTTTAATTTTGCAAAAATCGGGCGGTAGACATTCCACAAAAGAGTACAGTTAGTCTACATGGCATGTGTGTTGTAAACTTAAGTGTTGTAGATTCGATGTCATGGTTTCAACTAAATTATAATTTAAAATAGTGCTGGTGCTGGCAATAGTACTAATCTGGTAAAATATGTCGAGCCCTTGCAAAAATTAAAAGGTATATTTGAATAAATTTTCAACCAAGAAGAGTCTGTAACTGAAATTAAAGATTTTTAATGTTTAAACATTTTCTTTATTGAACATTAAAACATAAAAAAAGTCATCAAATCTGGCTATGAGCGAGAGAGATAAAAATAGCCGTCATGTCGAATCTTTTCAGTTATGTCAAACTTTTGACAAGTGACTGTCACTATTGTAAAATAAATAATGGCTGTCTTATAATCTGTCAGCTTTGCCAATTAAATAAGGTTAGGTATATATTTAAGATATATAGGTAGAGATAGGATATATAGAGATTAGGAATAGAATTTTTTTTACTCGGCCTACTTTAACGACGTTTTTTTTTGTTTTTTGTTTGGATGGCTCGATACTTTTGCGCATTTAATTAGAACATTTTGCATAGTTTTCAGTAAGCACTATATACATTTAATGTTACTGCAAGGCAAAAAAAACATTTCATTCCTGAAAAAGTGTTCCAGTTAAGCTCCGAACAAAGGTTTTTACTATAAAGTTACCCAAATGTAATTACCAGACTAAAAAAAAACAGACGAATAACGGGGACAACGACTGCCTGATATCGACTGGACCATTCTGTACGATAACAATAGGTTTGACTTTAGGCCCATCAAAAAAATGCATCTGTTCTGTATTTCCTAATGCAATTGTATGCAACAAACTTAAACAATAGACCTTAAAAACTGTCCATTCATGGCGCATTCACTTTTTACAAAGTAATAATATATCAACTCGTTGCACGAATCGGTTTGGCCTGTGTAGTTTCACTTTTACCTAACTGCGATAAAGAGAACGATTAAATTTAGTTTACGTTTGCACTATTATTGTTATGCTCTTGGTTATCTTTCTGTTATGTAATTTGTCCATTTGTGTATCCGCGTTTTGTGTATTTGAACGCGTTAAGATGTAATTAATCTAGAAAGGAAACAGGAAACATATAACTTTTAAGTTGATAATGCTTTTAGATGAATTTTAGCAGAAGTCCGTATCAGCTATCAGAAAGTACTAAATTTCATGATAATTGCTTCAACTACTTTGAAAATGTATCAATGTACAAGGTGTGTAAATTAAGTAATGAGAGTTTTTTTAATTTTGTTTTATTCGAATATAATTACAATTCAGTACAGTTTCCTTCAGAATTACTTCCTTGGGAAGCCACACAGCGCTGGAGACGGTTCTTCAATTTCGAGCTGGAACTCATATACTGGATAGCATTCAGCTGGTCGGTTACAGCCGTTTGAATGTTTTCTATGGTACCAAAATGACGTCTCGACGTGATTTTCAATCTCGGGAAGGCGGAGGAGCCACAGGATTGTTTTTACTGGCTAAAATTCGTTTACTGAAACGGTTGTGTGACAAGAAGTATTGTCGTGATGCAACATACAGTTGAAACTCTCTGTAAAAGTGTTGATTTACTGTTTGGCCTGGAAGCACAAACTCCTTGTGGACAATTGTCTGGCTATCAAAAAAGCAAATCAGCATACATGTAATCTTCGACATACTCAGTCTTGCTTTTTTGGGTCTTGGAGAGCTTGTGGTATGCTATTCCAAGCTTTGGCGCTTGGTTTCCGGATCGTACCTCTTCAAACAGCCAAGTCTGATCACCAATCTAACGTTCCATAAAATGGGGATCGTTTTCAATCGATTCCAATAAGTCAAGACACCTTTCTCTCCTGATGTCCTTTTGTTCCTGCGAAAGGTTTTTTGGAACCATTTTTGCGCAGATTTTTCTCATCCCCAAATTTTTTTCTCGTTATCTTCATCTTCAATCGACTCTCTTCCTTCTGAAAATGCCTTAAACCACCGAAAAACCTAAGATTTTGAATAAACACTGTATCCGTAGACGTGTTGAAGTTTTGCAAAAGTATCCGTTGCGCTGTGTCCGATTCTGAAGCAAAATCTGATCACACCGTTGCTTAAAATTAATGTCACTCATTTTTAAAACGCACTAGAAGAAAAATGGTTTACGAAAATCAAAGTGAACAAACAAAGGATTCTAACAAGTTAAAACTTGTAATGAAAGTGCACGACATGTTAACCTACCGCCCTTCCAAGTCCCGTCTCCGCTGTACTGCTAGATCGGGCGCTACGTTGCCAGTCTCATTACTTAATTTACACACCTCGTATATCAGCAGTTATGACCAATTTATTTACAGTATTTGTATAAATTTAGCTGTTCGTTGCATTATGCAACAAAAATGCCTCCAAAGTCGTGGCTATGAAAGTTTATTAGTGTAATCGAAAATGAGGTAAGGTGACCTTGAAAATGCAAATAATGGAAAAAACGGCAATTTCCAGTAGTATTTATTTATCTTTTTTATATACAGCGACCGTTGGTGCTAGTTACCTTGAGGAATAACTGTGTGTCATTAAGATGATAAAAGGTAATAACAACAAACGCATGTAATTACAGCTGGTTTTGTAGAAAAATAAAATGCTGAATATTGATATGTACAGTGTGTCCCAGTTATAACATCAGGCTCATAACGCAGGCATTTCTTAAGATATCTCTTAAGCTCTCAAACTTTAAAAGCAATTTTAAAATGTTTCAAATTTCATTCTGATTATGTCTAATATTATGTAAATTTATAAAAATAAGGCATATAAGTCTACTTACAAGAACAGCAGCACCCAGTATTATTTAAGAAATTTATTTGAAATTTTCACATATGTACTTCTATTCAACAAAGAAATGATTAAAATTTCAACAAAAAAAATTCAACGTTTTCTTAGTATTTGTTGTAATTTTCATGTAAAAAGTGCATGTTTTAAATCAGTTTTTGCTAAACGTAAATAAATTCGTGAAGAATAGTGACACATTTCCAAGGTAAACGGAGAAATTTACAACTAACTGTTGAACGACATACTGCCCTTACACGTGTAGTGATGGTTTGGGAGCAATATGCTTTGGTAGTAGCTCACCTTTAGTTTTGCTTAGGACCATTTTGAATGCTGCCAGTTACATAGCTGATGTTTTAGAACATGTTGCAGTGCTATATCTTCTCAAAACTCGTATGAGGATTACCTCACTTTAATTTGATTGCAATAGTCTTGTGTCAGTTGGTGTTGTTGTACAACCTCCGCTATATGCAATACGTTGAATAGTGTGATATAATTCTCATAATAAAATATGGCAAACGTGTGAAAGGCTACTAGTTATTTTCGTGCATTGCATTACACTGCAAACCGTGGCGATAGCTCAGTAGGTTAGAGCACCAGGTGAGCAGATGGTGGTTACTGATTACTCTATTATCTAGCTATTATCTGCGCAGGTTCGAATCCCGCCTGTGACAATTGGCACCTGTCACAGGATTTGGTTGGGTGTCCTACGTCTTTTTCATGTTTACTCTCCCTCTGACACAATCGCAATGATTCCTAGAGGAAGTATATCAACTTCTGTGGTGTGATTGTGATGCATATGCTTCTGCCTACATTATTCATTCCTGAATATTTGGCATATTGGGCAATTGACTTTGGGGCAGCAATTATGTGTAAAAAAAATTAAAAGAGCTTGTATGACTAAAGACACAATTGATCCATTAAATTTGGGGAAAACGCTTGACTTTTAAATTAGGCTGAATGTCATTTATCTTTTAGCTAGTCTAATTGCGCTTCACCTCAACATCTTCAATAACACTTTTTGTTTACAAAATAAACTTTTGCAATTAAGTGAGGTAAAACCTCAAATCGTATTTTATACAGTTACCGTAACATTTTAGTCGTTTAGAGTCGAACTAGTGCAGTGAAAATGCCGTTAGCGGAATGACTTGTAGGAAAAAGGATCAAATTACTATAAACTGAATGTATAAAAGTAGAAGAACATATTCTAGTTAGTGGGTAACAGTATTACATACAACATAGTAAGTTTTAAGAGAGTAAATTTAACCTGGTATAATAAAAAGACCGTTGTGTTGTATTTTAATGAGAAGATCAACTAAAAAGAAATTTAATTAGACAAATGTTTGTTGAAAAAAGTTTCTTAGTTTTTGTTATATTATTTCAATACTTGTGGAACAAAATATTTTTACATTTTCATTTTTAAAATATATTTAAATGTGGTATGTGTTTTAGAACAGGAAATGGCGTTTAGTAAATATTTAGCTTGCTTCCTTCTAGTAGCTCAGTTTATATTTTTTAAACATGAGATTGCTTTGAACATACACCTGAATTTTTTTATGAATATATTTTTTTATCTTGTTTATAAAAAAATTACCAAAAATGTGGCAGCTAAAACAATTTCAATTCACCACAGGTCAATAAACTAAAATACATCTGACATAAAAAATAGTCAATTGTCTTTCATATTTTTTTAAACAATAAACTTTTAAAAAATATATTCTACGTAGATAAATTTCAAATGTTTTTTTAAATAAATTTAATAATCACATAGGAATATATTCGTTTTGCTTTAAAAAAAATTAAATGTTTGTAGCCATTCAAGTTATAGCTAAATACTATCTTTATTTTAGTTATGAAATAATTTTTTTTAGAACCGGTTGTCCTTTATTCGGATAAAGCTTTTTAACTCGTTATCAACGATATAATATTTTCTAGAGCGTAGGTATATCAGAGAGGAATAAAAAACAATTAAACTTAAAATATAGAGGATGAATAAAATTAACAAAGACATTATCGTTACCTCGATTTCAAACAATAAACTAATCTGTAATTATTTGTAAAAACATATATCTGTGCAATCATGATTTTGAATATTTTTTATATTTGCAATAAAAGCATATAAAATTTCGTCAAACCACATTACCTACCTAGTTTTTTTGAACGTTTTTTATAGATTTTTTTTACAACTGTGTGATGACACAAACAATTAAAAGTTACAAAATATTTTCAGAATACAGAACTGAAAAAAAAACTTTCAATAAAAGGGATAAAACGCATTCTCCTAAATTAATATTGATGAATTTTCTTTTCCCCCCCATTTGCAAATTTAGATTCACGAAGAGAAACCTGCTATGCCACAGGTCCAGACTGCCAACTGTAACCGTTATACTGTGTGTAACAGATATTACTTTCACATAAAATACGATTACAAAACGTCTAATTGCCTCTTCTCAAACGAAACGGTGTTACAACATCAATTATTTATTGTATACATATAGGAATGCGGTAAAAAACAAAAATATTGACGCGGGCATTTTACTCAGATTAGTCACCGTGCAGTCAGTTGCAGCTTCTGTGCATAAATTAATGCGTAAGCAAGAGAACTACAATGCAATGAGCGGTTTTGTAAGGAAGGATAAACATTTCTCAATTTATAATAATATACTCAACGACCAAACAAACTACCAGTATGGATTCTCCGTCATAAGAGCAAACGAAAATAATGGACTGATAATTCAAAATAAAATCACAGACACACTTCCTCTACATAATTTTGTTTAAAATTATGTCTTTTAGTAACGATGTCTTCGACAGTAATTATTTAAATAGTTTTACAGTGTTTTCCACATCCACGTAGGGCAATGGAAATATATAATTCATGATTTTTCTTTTTTTTTTTTATATAATTCATGAATTTAAGTGACTAAATAGAGTCTGTCGGCCTTTTAAATCAGAGCTGGATCCCAAAAGATTAAATTTCAACTTAAAAATATCTATACCTTTTCACCTATCAGTGCATCGATCCGAGGACACAGTGTAGGCCATAGAGGTCATTAAGGTCAAATCTATCGTATAGGTCATAAAGGGCATGTCCGAATACACAATAATAACACACCTTTAAGGCTACAACCTGATGTTTTCAGCAGTTTAGTATAATTAAATGTTGAAAAATTGGATGTGGAAGTAGTGATATCATTGTCAGCGTTTTTTTTGCAACACTGTAGAAGCTCGTTAAACCCTTTCCAAGATCGGTCTTTGTTTCGAAACGCAATTAACATAACTTCGCAAAGGGAACACACGTAGAGGAAGGTTAAATACACATTTAAAATGTTAATTCTAGACTGCTGTGAATCTGTAATTTCTTGAGTCGAACAGCTTGAACTGAAAATACGTGAAATGGAGTATTAGTTGAAGAAATTACGCGAAAAACAAGTATTCAGGACAAATGCACACCAAAATAAAACGAATCAATGTGGTTGATTCGAACATGACCCATTAAATTTGCTTCGTTTCACCAGCAATGTTGACATCTTCAGCAGATGATTAAAACTACCGATAAATTTCACGTTCGGTGAACTGTAACTTTCGTTCTAGTAGTTATCGAACCCATTTTTTTTTATTAATAATAGTATTACATTTATCATTTTCCAGAATCAAATACATCCAATTAACTTTGTGTTGTCTGCTATATTTCGTGTTAGCTTCAAGCCGCTAACACGTTCTAGGGTTATTGTCAAAAGAATATAGGGCAAAGTGTAACACAAGGTTCTATGTGTTCTTTGAAGCTAGTTAAAAATGATCCTTTTTGTTTGCCCAATACAAGTTTGCTCACAATATTTACAACTTATTTCACAAATTGCCCGCTTCTCATGGTTATTTATTTTACCTTTTTCCTTTCCTAAATGTTTTTGTAATGTACTTTTTGAAGTTTTACCAAAGTTATGACAGTAATTTTCACGATTTTATCTAATCCGCGGTTGAATTTGCTACTACTATTTACAATTTTTTCCTAGAGGTCGTTCTGATTCTCATGTTTCCTATCCCCATTAAAAAATGATTCATACTCTATATATATATGAATAATGCAAACACTGTTTGTATGATAAATACAATTTTCATAAATATTTCATAAGTCAGTGTGCAACAAATGCAAAGTTCTGTTATTTGTAAATAGCTGAAAAATTTCTCATTCCTGGAATAACTTGAGGATACTTAAGGCGTGCCTGCTTATTGTTGTTTTTCAAGGCTGAGCAATTATTGTTTGTGAGTTACACAGCCCATTTGTAAGCGTGACTTCGTAATAACGTATGATGTACAGGGTTTGTAGGGAAAGTAATGAATTTTTTTTCCTGAGACTGTACGCGCCAGCCCGCGCTTTTCGTGCTGGGATTGTGGTGGGGGGATCTGGAAACAAGATCCAACAAGCTTCAGTTGGCTACCGGTCGTGGTAGCGGTCGCATCACTCGTTCTTTGAGAGTCGTTACAGTGACCCGGTGCAAGAAAAAATGCAACGTTCGCTTGAGCAACGGATGGCGATCAATTTTTGTGTGAAACTGGAAAAGAGTGCTGCGGAAACCATTCCAATGTTGAAGAAGACTTTCGGCGTCGATTGTCTTTCGGACAGGCAAATTTTCCGGTGGCACAAGGCCTTCGCAGACGATGTCAACGACGAGAACCGCGCTGGACGGCCATCAACCTCCAGTTCCGACGACAATGTGAAACGTGTGCGTGACTTGTTGAACACTTACCGTCGTCTAAGTGTCCGTTTAATTTCCGAAACATTAGACATTACGAAAACCATTGTTCACGAAATTGTGTCGGAGTCTTTAGGAATGAGGAAGGTGTGCGCGAAGCTCGAGCCAAAAGTGCTAACGGACGATCAAAAAGCGAGGCGCGTCGAAACCTGCCAATAACTTTTGGACACCTGCGAAGACAACCCCGCTTTCCTTGACGTCATTAACAGGGACGAAAGTTGGGTCTTTGAATATGATCCGGAGACGAAGAGGCAAAGTGCGGAATGGCACACGTCGAACTCCCCTCGCCTCAAGAAGGCCAGGATGTCCAGGTAAAAGATCAAGACAATGCTGATTGTCCTTTTTGATTGAAGGGGGTTGTTCCATCATGAGTTCGTTCCACAGGTGACAACCGCAACCGGAAAGTTTTACGTCGAGGTCCTGAAGCGGCTGAAACTCAGGGTGAATCGCGTCCGCCCAGACATCTCAAAATCCTGGAAGCTTCACCACGACAATGCGCCTTCGCACACCTGCTTCCTAGTGGCCGATTACCTCGTCAAGGCAATCTTTTTGTGTTTCCGCGCCTCAAAACCCCAATGAAAGGACAGCATTTTGTGTCGGTGAAAAACATTCAGAAGGCTTGCACCGACGCTTTAAAGGCGATTCCGGAAAACGACTACCGTGCGGCTTTTGATGCGTGGAAGGCCCGCTGGAACCGATTTGTGGACGCAGGAGGAATGTATTTTAAAAGTTTATAAAGATTTGTACACATAGAACCAATAAAAACCATTTTTCAAAGCTCACTGACATTACTTTCCGGACAAACCCTGTATGAAATGTTAAAATACCTATCAAATACTTCTTAATAACAATACTCCATTAATTTAAAAATAAAAAAACTGGACGTCTTCCACGAAACACCGAACTACTACACTTTTCTC